AGACGCAGAATGGGGGTAGTAAAGGCCAGAAGAACCCCACTAGGTTTTAATTAGCAATAGTTCACACAGTTAAGCAAAACGGTTTAACAGGTAGAGTTTCAGTTTAAGATGATGAAAAAGTCGCAGAGATAGATAGTGGTGATGGTTGTACACCAATGTGAATGTACTTAACACCACTGAATTGCACATAAAAATGGTAAAAATGGTTAAAATGGTGAATTTTGTGTTATGTATATTTTACCACAAAAAAAATGCAATTTTTTAAAAAACACTATTCTTTTGCACATTTAGGGGACCTATGTGTGTGTTTATAAATAAAAACTTGGGTTATGGAAATTAGGATTAAGGAATATATACTTAGTTATACTGAGTCTCCTAGTAATATTCATATTGACAAAATCAAAAGCTAGCCCCTGAAAATCTCTCTCTGAGGATAGTAATTTTTCAGGTCACAAAGGCACCTCCCAGTTACCAATGCAGCAAACTGAGTAGTCTGAATGAGAAAACCACTCCATAACCCAGGAAATGCAAACTCCTTAAAAGCTTAGATGTCATTTCCCCCCCACAAATCAATGCCCCTCTATCTTTTTTGTTTTAAGGTCAAATGTTAAAGACAGGCACGTAGAAAAATCATAGACAAAACCAAGGGAAAGCGTACCCCTAGGACAAATTCAATACTAAGATCCACTCAGAATCTGATTAAACTAAAACTTAATCTGAGTTTGGAAAGAGCCTAGCAATGCACACAACACCCATTCCCATACTCTTATGCTCGAGTTCTAGTACTCATCTCTCCAGTATTGCAGCCCATTTCTGCACCCAACTAATCACGGACTTTGTAATCATTTTCAAGCTACCCCTTAAAGTTAAAATTAAATACGTACTGTTGATCAATTCTTTGTGTTCAGCGAGGGTTTTTGCAGGATCCAGCCAATACTGCGTGAGAAAGAAAAGGGCAATTATAGGAATTAGTTGCTTTCATTGGCCTTTACTTCAAGAATATTTACAAAATGTTAAATGATATTTAAATATTTGATAAGTAAAACACTTCATTTATCGTATATACACACAAACATACATAAAAGCTTCCTGTGGCTAGAAGAGTAAAAAAGAGAAAAATGGTGCTGATGTTGGGAGCAGAGCAGAGAAGCAGTACTTGCTGGGACCTCGGTTGAATCATCGTATTGATTAGAAGGTCGGTAACATCCAGTTGCTTGTGAGAGAGCTTACTCCTGTGGGAAAACAATGACTGCAAAGACTGCCCCCCAAGCCTCCTTCCAAAGCCCCCATCACAACTCCCCTTAGAGCCATGTCTCCCCTAAAACATCCTCACCCTCTTCCACTCTCGTCCCTACAGGCACTGCTGCTAGGTGTTAGGAAGAAAGGAATCAAATTCAATCAAATCCTCACCGAGGATCTAGAAAAGCAGCTCTGCACAGTGGCTGAGGCCTGAGTCCCAGAGCAGACCCCGTCTGGACTCTGTCAGGCTCTCTCCTCATCATCACCACGTAACTTGGGACAAGTGACTGGACATCACTGAACCCTCCTCATAGGGCTGCTGTGCAAATTAAATAAGTTAATTTATGTACAGTGTTTCAAATAGCCCTGGCTCATGCAATGCATGCGGGGGCTGATTATTATTAAGGTGTGAGGGTCATTCTTAATAACTGCCTTTAGCCAGTCTAAGATACTTGCTTATTAATTTAAATTAATCTGTAATGAA